AGGCGGCGCTAATCGCATTGATCGACGCGGGGATTGCCCGAACGTTGGTTTACAGCGCCAGTGACGACTATTCCTTGTAATTCGATTAAATCATGGAAACGTTTGCCGAGCCGGTTAACGAGGGCGGGGGGGAGTGGCGGACGTCGTGGATGGAAAATCGCGTTACTATAATTGGTGGCTCAAGATAATTTCGCAATACCCGGAACCCGCGACGTTGCCCGAATTTTCAATCCCCGCTGGGAACGCCAGAAATCCCTCGCGCAATAATGAATTGCAATATGGACGGAGCACAATATGGCTTCGAACGGAGAATATCGTGTGAATGTGTTTCATTTGGAATCGTGAGTGTAAGTTTGAAAATTAGATACCATCTCGAATAATATCTATTACCGAGGAGCAATTGACATTAACACTTCGTCGAAACGAAAGGTGGAAATATTCTTTCGTGCTGTGAGTTATGAACCAGGAGTCTTGTGTTTGCGTGGAATTTATAAGCGTCGACTAACTTGTCGGTTTGTATTGTGATTGCGTGTAGGCAATTTAGAAAGATTTAAATTGGACAGTGACCTGAACTTAATAGTGGAAAACAATCAGTTTGATTGATGACTATATGCTATTAATAGAAGGCAATTGCAAATTGATCGATGGCATCGAACTAATAGCAGAAAGCAATTGGAATTTGATTGACGACGTCCATTGTCAATTGATTGGCGACACCTATTTCATTGAACCGTCGTTTACGACTTTCGCAAACTCTTCTGCCATATGGAATTCTGAGTTTTCAAAATCAATAATAATTAAAAAACCATAAGCTTTCGAATAGGGGCGCATTTTTTAATATAGTCATTTATTCGATGTAATCTATGATAGCAATGTATAATAGCCAAGACAAGATTGCGAAAGTTAATGATACAAAATTTTCCAATGAAGTCATAACGTGTACCAGCAAAACTAAGATTATGAAAGTCGATGATACATATTTCTCCAATGAAATCATTATATACTCACTGATTAACGCGTTGAATGCTGCACGATTTCATAGAGCAAAATACACAAAATGGAAAAATCTAATATTAAATCATTTGATTGAAGTGCTTTATTACCGCACATTCATCTAGCTGAACATCACCACATTAGGTATCATTATTTACAATATAGAAATATTTCTAAATAATCATTTGATCGAAGTGTGTTATTATTATCGCACATTCATCTAGCTGAACCTCACCACACTAGGTATCATTATTTAAAATATAGAAATATTTCTAAATAATCATTTGATTGAAGTGTATTATTATCGCACATTCGTCCAGCTGAACCTCACCACATTAGGTATCATTATTTATAATATAGAAATATTTCTAGATAATCATTGTTTAATTGAGCGAATTACAGTAATTCGATTTGGTTGGAGGTCACCGGTGCCCCCATGGCATACGTGTTAATAAAGTTTCTTCTCGTTCCCGTCGTAACATATAACAGCAAGGAGAAGATTGCGAAAGTTGAAGACTAGAAGGTAAAGTGAGTGCACAGATGTTGACGATCTCAGAGTGTCGCCGAATCGATAGTCTTTCAAGGAGCACGACTCACTTATATAGTCAATCCTGTGGACGAGCGCAGAAGTCGCAGTCGGATGACGTACAATTTTCATCCGAGTCCACGGCTGTTCCGAGATCGACGCAGGGTCGAAAAACGCGGTCGTACATTCCCCGAGACGATCACCGGGATGCACTCCCGATAATACGCGCGAGGGCTGTGAATGTATGCGTCAAGTTCCCGAAGTCTCGCTCGCTGAATTCGCCGGCGGAAAGTTGCGACTGCCTCTTTAAAGGGATTTCGAGTTTTCGATTTCTCGAGTGCTCCGGATACTTGTCCGGATTTCTTAACAGAATTACGTATCACCGACGGTTCTTTCCCTCTTCCGACTTTTATTTAATTGTACCCGGATTTCCGTGAGATATCAAGGCGGATCTTCGAAGCATGTTTGCCAGAGAAGTCGAAAAGTAAGGTAAATCACAGATGCGAGATAAATTATTCTCGTAGCTCCTTTCATTTCCTGGAAGTAGCTTCAGATTCGTCTATCCATTCTATCATTTCTACTATCTCTCTAAACGCAAGTGAATTCCATGAACTCCCATATCAATTTCTACAACTATTAAATCTTGCTATTTCATTCTCCTCTCGACTCTCCTTTCCACGCTTCGTTTTAAAATAACAAAGAATTACGACACCTACTGTATTCTTCTGGTATTCCGTCTGTTATTAAAACCTGTATAAGAGACATTCCACGTTTGGCTACCGAATACTCGATATTTAATCCTCTGATAGACTAACGACCTCGCCGTCGATTATCCGGAATCTCCTGAAGCTGACTCGCAGAGGAAGAAAGGCAGGCGCAAGCTCTCGCGGCCGATTCGTCTGCGTGTCGAGAACATTATCGGTAGGGAATAATAAGTGAGGCAGAAAACGGGGACGGCGACGGAAGGGGCGCAGGGCGCGACGAGAAAGGAATGGCTCCGCTCGCTCTCGATAAACCGCGTCCCACCGAAAATTTTCAAATCTTAATTGCGGGGAAATGGTGTGTAATGACGTGAAATATTGTCCGGAAAAAGATGCTGACTCTTATTACAGTCGGCCTTTGGACGGAGCCTTTTAATCCAGCGACTCCTACCTTTCAACCCCCTTTCTCCCTCTCTTCCTCTGCTCGCCGCGGGAGTCGTCCCTGACTCCACACCTCCCAGAAAACGCTGACCTGCCATTTCCACTGCCAATCTGTTACGGACGCGAGGATCCAACAGAGGGAAACACTGGGGCGTGCAAGGGCGTGCAAGGGCTGAGCAACCCCGCGTGTGTCTCTTTTTCATTTCCCTCCACTCCGTGAAAACTGCAGGCCTTTTCCTCGTTCCGGGCATTCACTCCTGGACAACGACTCTTAGATTTTATCTCTGCCTTCCCCCTGCTCGGTTTTCTTCTCTTTGCCGGACATTCAAGGGACCTGGATACGTTTGCGGTTGCGAAGATGAGTGCTAACGTTTGGAGACTGAGAAGTTGTGTTTGAAGTTGCTGATTCATATATGCAATTTCTGAGTGGGATGAAGATAGAAATAATAATGATAAAGCAGGAGGAATGTTTTAAAAAGCATTACTATATATTAAGATAGAAATAATCGTAATGAGAATGAACTAGGAATATTGTAAAATTTGTAATTAGTATACACGTTATACTTGCGTGTTTAATTACGAGATCAGAGATCAAAGATTACTCTGCTGGTACACGGTAAACACCGCGCAACGTTCCCGGAGTAAATTACCTTATAGTTAGCGGCGACTAGACGCAAAGTTCACTCATCGTTCGTCACTGTCAACGACCCGGGGGTAGAAGAACAGGGACGAAAATCGGTCGGTCGAATAAGAATTTCCCCTGGACAGTTTCGTGCCAATTAAGAGCCACGGTCTCGTTAGGACGAAACGAACCGCGGCTTAATTTTAATCTCAAACAATAGTCGGACGTCATCCGTTCCGACCGTCTACAGTTCTGCCTTCCGTCCGATTTCATTTCTGGGTTTCCTAGAGGGGTCGTTTCGTCGTGATTTAAATAACCCCTCGGCCCTCCGCCTGTGGCAATCGAACGGGTAACCTGCACGTAAAAGAAAAAGAGTACCGGCGAACACGGGGCGAGAGTTCAACCGCGCGGAACAAAACATTCGCCGGTCTTTCGTCCCTCTTATTAAATATTTAAAGACTGCGCGGAGCTCGCGGCTTCGTTCGGCAAAATAATAAACGGTGGACCGCACAAAAGCTGACGACCGTGTCAAGTGTCCGTGGCGTTAAACCGTTCCTCTGTGACATTTGCGTTTGCATGCGCCCTGTATTGTTACCCGTGCAAGGGTTCACGGCACTTGCCTTTGTTACTTTCGCCGCTGAATACCATGTACCTTCTTATTTCTATATGAAATTTGTCTTTGTGTATAATGATCAAGACGAAACAGTGGATTCGCTAAAATTAAGGAAAGAAAAGAACAATTACGGTACGACCGTGAAATATTTATTCCTCTAGAAACAATATTTTCACAACTCATATGTATTCCTAATCGTCAAATTAACCCTTTACACTGGACAGGTGACTCTCAGTTACCACTTCATTCGATACATCGAAATCATAAGGTCTCATATTTATTAACCCTTTGAACTCTAGGCTCCAATATTTCACCAGTTATAATAAATATTCTAATGAATCTTAAAGAAACTACCCTAAAATTATTCGATTTTCGCACATCCAAATTTTCTACTAAGGAGGAAAATAAAAGATCGAAGAAACGTTTCTAATTTTAGGAATACTATAAAAATTATTTGCAGTTGCTGATAGATTACAATACAACCTGGAGTGCTAAGGGTTAATCTGTGTTAATACTATTATATACATATGTTAACCCTTTGAACTCTGTAGGCTCCAATATTGCACCAGTTATAATATTAAATATTCCAATGAATCTTAAAGGAACCACCCTAAAATTATTCGATTTTCCGCACATCCAAATTTTCTACTAAGGAGGAAAATAAAAGATCGAAGAAACGTTTCTAATTTTAGGAATACTATAAAAATTAGTTGCAGTTGCTGATAGATTACAGTACAACCTGGAGTGCTGGTTAAACTTTGCGCAATGCATCGATACGTAAAACAACTTCGTTTCCCAATTTGCGTGTATTTCCACGTAAGTTGCTATCAAAAAATCTCGTCCAGGTCCTGCCAGAAAATCCTATCGAGTACAGCGCGCAACTTTCAACAGCAAAGGGTTAATTTTCCGGCGTGTGCGTTCAGAAGTAACGGAAATCGAATATATTCGCAGAAAATCAACAAGACAGGATTCAGACGTGGCCAGTAGAAATAGTCTAATCGGGATGCATGCGGATCGTGATGCGCGCAGCAGACCCGTAGAGCGTCGAGGTAACCGCGAACCTCGGGACGCAGGCGTCGAGCCCAGGAACGTTCGTCAGTCGTCGGCCGAACTTGAAACGCGCGGCTTCGCGGCCTCCTCGCCACGCGGCGCGTCACCCACGTCCGTCTCCGCGCCAAAACGCTGACACACCTGCGTACCTGGACTCGCCGCGGTGCGCCCGCCGATTCGAAAGTGACTGCTCGCGTAATCGTTCAACCCTCTCTTCCTCTCGCTCGCTCTTTCTCTCTCTCACGCTCGCTCTCGCCCTCTCGCCGGTGTTGTGCTCGCAGCTGCGGACCAATTCCGGTGTTTCCCTCCGGTGCAGCATTTCATCCGCGCGGAAATTATTTCTCGGCCGGATGCGTATCGCTCGTGTGCACCACCGGACGACAACCCATCTATCCGCGGTAATTGACATCTCGCGTGACAGCAACGAGCTCTTTCGGAACCGTGCTCTTACCGCTGTATCATTTTCCGTATCATTCTCGGGATACCGATGATTCCGGTGGACCTCGTGGAAATTGGCTGCGCTCGGTTCAACGACGGCTCGCGGGATGATCCTTTGAAGATGACGCCGGACCGTTCGAGGAAATTGGAAATTTCGAAATGATTTCCTTGTTCTTGGTGTGTGAAGATTGATCACTGTCATTGGATTCCTTTTGAAGATCGGAGGATGTGACGGATGTTTCGAAGGAATCTTTATGTCGTAATGTGGATTATCGATGTAATTAACGTGCGAAACTTCGTACTTAAGAAATCTGATGGTTTACGATTATATAATAGTATATAGAGATTGTGTAAAATATATTCGAACATTCCCGTCACAGACGTTTAGAACTCAAATTCATATTTCGGATCGAATCGTTCGTCAATCTTCCTGTCGGCACGCCGAAATGCTATCAGAAAGAAAGGGGAAATCCTGAAAGGAAATCCGAAGAAAATATTCCGATTCGTGGAAATGATGTAGCCGCCACTTGCAGAAACGTGCGCGAGCCTGTCGCAGCCGGCAGTGTTCCGAGTAACGTAAAAATCGTCGACACTGTCGAAGTCGTGCGTATCTGGAAGCTTGCCTCGAAAATCTGTCTTTCTTACAGTTTATAGAGTCCCGGGGTCGATTGTCAAACCCAGTAAATTTCCACGTCCGTCCTGAACCCGGAACAACGGCCGCGCGTATACCCCGCGAATTTCATTTCCAATGGAATTTTATAGCTCTCGCGATCCATTTGCCTTTCCGATCCATCGACCAGTCGTCGCGTTACAAAATATATTCGACGCGTTCCCCCGGAAATAGGAGCACTCGTCGCGTCGCGACGATCCCGACCGCCATCGGAACCAATCTTACCATTTCTTTGATATTCCGACGAACGCAAATTACATTGCAGCGCGCGCGTCTCGCCCGATCATCGGAGCCCCGCCTCGCCCGCCCGCCCGCCGCGGATGAATTTATTCCCGTAATTACGGGCTAATTGTCTCATCTCTCCGGGCGTGCCCTCCCATACACCGTTAAACTGAAATCCATCTGACCATAATTATCTTAGAATTGCCGTCGAACTTGCGTCGCGCGCCGCAAACTTTCTAACGAGCGCGTCTCGCTGGATCCTCGTTAGCATCTCGCGCGGGGGTGCCGCCACAATTTTCGATCGGGCTGGGTTATCGCGGGTCTAACAATTTGTACGGATTGCTTTGAAACACTGTTAACGCATCGTCGAGCCACAATCCGGCCTGTAAAAGTAAAACGATTGAAATAAAAGGATTTCGGAACTTCGGTGACTCTAGTGTCTAATTATCTTCTGCATTACAAACTGAATTTAGATTTCCACTTGGATTACAAATTTCAGCATTTCGTAGTACCCATTGCAGTTCTGAATTAGTAGCACATTGTTAAATAGAGAACAGTGTCAGTAGCTTTAATTCCAAGTAGAAACAACGAGCAATAATCAGACACACGAACTTTTCCCATTTGTATATTATCGTATATCCTTAATTTACTTCTACATGCAAAATCACTCGCCCCTTCATTACATCACTCGTTTCTAAGCACTCTGTACATTCGCGTCGTTATGTTCCCATTATTGCAAGACGTTGCTTACGAATACGGCCCCCAATTAATATCCATCGTCGAACGAAATTCACAGCTGCCGGGCGCTTTGTTCTATGAACGCTAATAAATCGGATCCGATTGAAACTTCTTCGAACTGGAAATACTGGTTTACGTTCCGCGAAGACATTGGACAGTGTGCAAATACAGTTCGCCCTGTGAAGCAAGCTGCGGTGCACGGAATGGACTAACGAAAGGAAGAGTAATACTAGCTCGGCGCGCGGGCCACGATTTCGTCGAGCGATAAAGGGTAAGGAATTATTCTGCCAGTCATCGGGTAGCCCGCCGCGGAACGTGTTTTGCATCGTCCATCAGAGTGTCCGTTCACGAAGCGGATCCGTGAATTTTTTTCACCTTGAACCGGGAAAAAGGCGCCGCGCGTTCGAGCACGCCCTCGAACGGCCGGAAAAAAATTCGAGGGCTCGCTCTTTTTTTCTCGGAAAAGAAATTAATCCTCGAACCGTAATTAGCCACGGAGCACCCTCCCTAGGCGCGTTCCCGGCTACTTTATCGCGCCGCTTACGCCGCTAGTTACCTCGTTCGAGCATTATGACACTGCAATTACATGGAGAGCAAACTTTGCGCCGCAAATTACGACACCGCTGGAACACATGAGACAACTCGGATATCGTAGCGCTTTCTGAAGATAATGACTTAAAACGATCGCGTCGACTAACTCCCGGATGCGTTCGATTATGTACGTGCTACTCGCTTCAGCTAGGATCTGTTAATTAGAGGTGTTAATAGGATTAACGCTTTGCGCTCGGGAGGTGAGTCTCTGTCACTACTTGATTTGACACAGTAAAACTGTAGTATCTGATGGTTAACGTTGAACTTTGTATAATGCCTCGATACGTGAAATATTGGAATAAAATAGCATTGTTCCTTAATACTGGTCTTAATGTACATCGTCTTTACCTCGTGAAGAAGTGTTAAATATTTCTAGTAAGAAACTTCCGAGTGCAAAGGATTCATGTGGAATTTAAGTGCGTTAAGCTTCTGTGATCATTTGTGACAGTGTTTTTATCGAGCCGTTGATATTCACTCTATTAGTGTCCATTGTTTCGCGACTATCTAAAAAGATTATCTACACATTTCAATCAGTAAAAGCTCACAGGCGTTTAAAATTAATGCCCAGAAATCTTTGTATACTTCTCTGAAATTGCTCGCCGCAAAATTTGTGAATTCAAAACGAACGGACGTTATTTTCAAGCGTTAACACGTTCGATATTCTAGAAACGGGTTTCATCGCGATGGTTTCAGGTCGTTCAGCGGGAAGCGAATTTATTCGCAACGATAAGTGCGCGTCATCGGCTTGTCGATAGATGAGTTAAAAGCGTATCGAGTGGCCGCAAATAAAGCGGAGAGAGCCAACTTATTGCGGATTCCGAGCCGATGGTATCAGAGCCGATATCTTATTCCGCCAGGGTTGATCATTGTTGGCCGATATCCGAATTCCCGATTTATTTCCGCCCGCTCTTTCTCGTAATGGAGAGCCATTTATCTCGCGCCGCGTCTCGGCTGTAGCAACCGATCCGACCGTAATCGATGCCATCTGTCATTATCGCGCGTTAACCGCGGCCTCGGTAAATCAACGGATAAAATATTAACGATCACCGGTGTAGTATCCTCGCCGCGCCGAGTCCACGGAACACGGCCGGGATTCGATGAAACGGAACTGTTCCTGAAGTATTCAGCGCCGTCGCCGTGGCGCCGTTATTACTGTCAATTCCGTATTTACGAAGTCAGCGAAATTCGATTCCGTCGGATCCCGTCGACGCTCGGAGCCGTACGCCGAACAGAGACTCCGCTTTTCAATCCTTTCCGCGCTGATTAAATATTTTCGAACTTGCCCGTGTGTAACGTGTAAGCTCCATTAGCAACCCGGGCCCCGAAATGTCCGTCGAATCGGCGAAATGTATCGTTAAATTTTCAAACCGACCTGGAATTCGAAAGACGCATAAAAGCGTACAACTTTGATGCTCGCCTCCAGTGAATGACGACACGAGCGTCAGAGGAAGAGCGGCACATATTTCATTCCGAATTACGTATTTACTGCTATCCGCCATTTTTTGCCGCGCGAGTTCCGTGTCGCGAGTATTGTGCGGCTTCCGGAACCGGAGGTCCCGCTGCCCGGGGAATAAAATGCGTTATGCAATGTTCGGTACATGCTTCGGCCGTTCTACACGGCGTCACGGTTTTCTTTCTGTTCTCTATATTGTTGACATCCATACACACACACATACACACACAGTGCGGTCGTTGAATATCTTTCTTGCTTCGACCGAGCTTTGCATGCGGTCGTATCCAGTTATTTGCCGCGCATTCGACCTCCGCGATTTTGCGCGCGAGTTAAAAAGCCCGGTACCATTTGCCCGGACATGATTTAGCTTCCTCTCCCGGGGATCAGGCCGGGCTCCCGTGTTCTTCCGTCACTCGGGAACGAAAATAATGGACGTTTCGCGGAGCGATTAGAGGGGAAGATCGTCCCCTTTTTCCGGGGCGGAACAAACAAAACCCGCTCGCTGAACGTAGACGTGGTTTTGCAGCCGGGGACCGCCGTTCGCTTGGCCAGAATAATTGTACAAACAACCGGGATCTTCCAGGCATTTACGGAAACGAAATTAATTTTGTTTGGTGAGCCGATTGTTAGGTATTGGCAAACTTTTTCACAATAGTCTCCTCGGACTCGTTACTGCTGTTTTGAAGTTGCTGAATAAGTATGTCGATTACTTATCCCTTTGGCATCTGAAGACGCTTCGAAGTGCCATTTTCATGAAACACTTGAATTCGGAAGCTTATCGTTAGACATATGTGGTATCAATGGTACTTTAAATACGTTTTATTTTTGAAAAACACAGGAATAGATGATTGAATAAAATACAAATAAATAGAAACAATATAGCTCGCAGTGTACAGGTCTTTTCTCTTCTCAAGTCAACTCTCCTGAAATCTCTCGCCATCACTTAAAAACCATTTTCTCCCACAAGCATTCTTCTTACTCACACTTCCAACAAATTCTCAAACACACCCCACTCTCACCACCATGCACTCAACATCCTCGCTTACGCATCTTTCGGAAAAACCCCACCAACCCTTGGGCCTAGTCTCCATGAGTCCCTTTCTCTTTTGTGGCCCTCGAAACACTCGCTGTCCCACTGTCTTAAAACTACGATACTACAAATATTCGGCATTTTCTGACGAAGTATAGACAGCATTCTTTGAAAGTAACGAGAAAAGTTATTTTATTTGAATATTTCTCATGACGATGCAATATAGGAAGCTTGATATCGTACATAAGACTATAATTTTGCAAGATTAAATCTATCGAGTGCAAAGAGTTGAAATATAAATCACTCAAACGTAAATAAGCATGTGTTACTCGAACAGTCCGCAGATATCGAGAATAGAGATAGCAGTACAAATCGAGAATAGCATAATCCAGGATACGAAACGAACGAATAAAATTTTATACTGTTTCATTTTATTTCCGATTTGCCAGATATATAATATTCATCCAGGGAGTAAAACATTTTCGAATCCTCATCTGCAGTTTTCTCGAGTGTCTTCAGAGTGTCGCGTTATGTATGAATTTTCTTTTTATTTTGAATCGAATTTCCTCTGAAAACTGTGAGAACGCGTAGCTGTTTGTAGTGAAATCGCAAATTGAGACGAATCCGATATTCTTGGGGGGCGGTGGGTATAGAGTTATCCTCGAGCGGAATTAACGTGCGGAGACAAATTACGATCAAGAATGGGGGGTCGAGGGTCGCGCGGGCTGACGCGATTTTTCACGTTATCTCATCGGGGCGGGTTCTATTAAGAACTTGTCACTCGGAAGAATCTTGAATGCATCGTCAGGACTCCCCGCAGTTAGGTATTACTCGAGCCATCCGTGGATTAATGAAACGGCCGGGAGAACTGTTCCCCGTGGAACTTGTCTGAGCGGCGAAAGTTTACCGCCTTCTGCGGTCCCATCCCTCCAGGAACTTATAGAATAGAAATCCGGTCACGTAAAGGGCATCAGACGGGCATTATTAAATTGCACCGCGCGAAATTATGTATTTCGTGATCCTTTCACGGCGGCGGCTCCGCCGGCGGAATGCAGTTGACAGGGCGCAACGATTTTTCACTCGGAAAAATCGCTTGTACGTTCCTTCAATGTACGCCGAAGTCGAATCGCAGTCGCGTGTTTATTCCCGCTGAAATTGCCCGTTGATAAGTTGCAACGGGGCCACTTTTGCTTGCAACCTACTAATTTATTCTTTTTTTTTCGTTTATTAAAACTAAATTACGTGTAATTTTCTCTCTGATTGCCCATCGTGTAAAATACTCTCGATAATCTGCGAAATAATCGCGGGGTTCGCGTAATTTTAATAAAATCGTCATAAACCTGACAATTCTAACGAGCACGTAAAAACGTAGGAAAACACTGGTAAAGGCTTTTCCAAAGGCATTATCCGATAGCTACAAAACACTTAATGCGACCGACAAAATAATGAAGGAAAAAAGTATATGAATATCCTCGATTTAATAAAGAAAGTTGACCCGCAAGGGACATTCAATTACTTTCCCCGAAACGCGCCACGGTGAAACGGCGACGACACCGCGAGACTCGCGGAAAAGGCCAGAAACCCGAAAGCCACGAACAAAAGGAGAAACATTTACGGTTGAAAAAGGACGAAATAAGAAGCGGCGTCCGTCCCAGGCGTCGGCGCCGTGTTCTCGCTCAAATCGGCCCGTTGGAACGCGAAAGAACGAGCCGCGCGAAGGAAGAGCGTCCAGGAAAAGCTCGAAGGAAGCGGATTCAGCCGGGGAAAATTTGAATAAAACCGGGAGAGAGGGTGTAGAATTTCCCTATCTCGCTCTATCGCGTCGAGCCGAACCCCCTCCCCTCGCTTTTCCTGTCCCTTCTCGCCCTCGAGTCTCTCCGGTCCCCGCAGCACGAGAAGTAATGCAAGTTCCGCGCTGGAAACTCGTAAAAAGCCGTGGCTAGCTGAAGCCACCGGCTACCTCCGCGACATCCCGACATCTGCGGTCCGAATAGGGCTGGCCGCCTCTTCTCGCCCTCTCCATCCACTTGGAATTCAACTATTCCGGCCAACAGACTTCCGCCTTTCCCTTGTCCACCCGCGCCGCCCGACCGACGCACAATGTGTTCCGGGCTCGCAGAACGAGGTTTTCCTTGGACCCAGCGCCGATTCCTCTCGAAAAACTGACGGGACAGTTGGCGTCGTCTCGCAGTTTCCG